CACGCCTCGTCGAGCCGCGATTTCAGCGCGGGAACTCGACTGCGCGCCCAAATTTGTCGGTGGCCGATCCACGCGGCAAAAATCTGTCCGTAAAAAAATGTTACAGTTGTCTGGCATCGCGAGCTGCTCGCCATGTCGGTGTCGACTATGGATCCAACGGCCTAATCCAAGCCACGCGACACCATCGGTTCATGCCTTAACACTGTCTAGGTTAAAGGAATCTAAAGACACACCCTAGCGCGCAACAGGAAAGTCAGCGCCGACCACGAGGGGCTCACGGTGGGCTTGCCACGCGGCTCTTCAATAATCCCGGGCCCTTAGGCCATGGAAGTCGGCATGCCGGATTTTCTGCAGAGAGGCACCAATGATGGGCTCACGCCACGTAACGCACGCACATTCCACCGTGGACGTGCCCAGGGTTACGCCCCTTGAGTGCAGCGCGGCGACCCAGTAGCCATGCATGGCTCGTGGCACGTTGGACACTGCGCGGCCGCACGAGAACACATGCATAGCGGCACAAGCATAGGGGGTTGCGTGAAGCACGGCAGAATCGGAGTCGCTCACGACCATACCCCTCTGTGACCTTGCGCTGGTGCTCATTCCCTTGTCCGTTCCTGCATTCCTTCATGCTCTCTCTTGCACTTAGAATTTTCCGCTCCCTAGCTATCTTCACGAGTGTGGGTTACTCGTGCGCCGACCAATCGATCCCATTGGCACCGGTAGCGTCTACCTGGCATACACTACTCAGGTCGGTGTTTAGGTAACCGAACGGTCAGAACGCGTCGACGTCGGATGTTTTAGGGCAGCATCTTGGCATAGTATCAACAGCTCTACCGACCAAGCAAGACGGGATGACAGAAACTAACTAGGTCGGCGACGCATGGCCAGAGGACGGCCTAAAGCCCAACAGCCGCAACCCATCCCACCCCCTGCCGACTCTGTAGACGCCGACATCAAAGCGCAGCTAGAACGCCTCGAGCTTGCCGCTGAGTTAGAAGAACTAGAGAGAGAAATCGAAGAAGACGCCTGAGCAACTCAACGGGCGTACACCGCACCCGTGACTCAGTACCGTCTCTGGTGGTCCATCCTTTATCTCGAACACGGTCGACGGTAGAGCAAACTACGAGCGGCCGCACGGCCGACGTCGACATGTCCGACATTGGTCCCCCAACCGACCACAATCAGACCTCTACCCCCAAAGAGACGCTCAAGTTACTCTACGATCTTGATGCACTGACACAGATTCCAGAAGGGGAGTTCACCAAGGACATTCCCCCACCGCCGATAGGGGAGTTTACGAAGCCAGCTAGTAAGTCGACCCCGACGCAAGATGGGCAGCCTGGACCTTCGTTGGTACCGCCCGCCTCAGGAAACCAGGTTGATGACGAGGAGGAGGAGGAGGAGGAGGAGGAGGAGAGCGACAACAAATACAACGAGCGTCCTCCGCGTAGCACGAATCTGCGCACCTTGGAAGAACGCATCCGGCAGGAACTTGAATAGATAGATAACCTGCTCGAACAGGACGAGGAGGAGGACGAGTAGAACATGGCGGTGCCACGCGAACAGTGGAGAGCAGCAGACTTCGTCAAGGACGACATGGTTTACGCCTGCATCGACGTGCTGGTCATAGACGCCCTACGCCACCTACAAACCTTGGAGAAGAATAGCACGCTGAGGCTGTACACCTCATTCATCTACCACTACAAGAGGTGGGCAGCGAAAATGCTGAAGCAAATACGCGACAAGCTTCCCCAGGAGCACAGGCTTAGGCACGTCGATAAGTTCGGCCACTACATTCGGGACAACAAGAAGAAGAATTGGGACAAAGTGGCCGAGGTCCCCTGGGAGTACATCTAGTTGCACGGCCCTAGGGTAACCGAAACCCGGCTGCGCGCCTACGTGAAGTTCGTTATACGTGAGTGTAAGCTCGATGCCAAGTTGATCGAGGAGGGGAACAATGCCTTGCGAACCCAGCCTGTGCAAGGTACAACGGTGCACACGCTCCTCGGGCGCATAAAGGCATGCCAGATGGCGGCGAAAGTGGAGGCGACACTCTACTGGGAGAAGGAGCTGAGCATCATGCGGGAGATCTCGGTGGTCAGGTCGGAGGTGCGGTTCATGGTCCGCACCAAGAACGAGAGGGACGTCAAGTAAGTTTGTCGACACCGCCAACCTCTGTCCACGTCACTCTGAAGTCGACGCCGTCAAACTAAAAATACTATGTGGCTTTGTGGGCAGGAATTGTGCCAACCGGCGACGCGGCACCATCGGCGATACCTACACCGCTGAACAGTTCCGCCAGATCATGATGAAGGTGCTTCTTCGGCGTGGAACCCGCGGGCGGCGTCGGCGTGGAACCCGTGGGCAACCGCTCCTTCGCAGACGCTGTGGCGATTTTTGCTCACCAAAACGCTCACGCTACTCTCCCACCACACTCTCATGCGAGGCGCCAGCATCTGTGAGATCACGCTCCCCGACATCTTCTTGTACCGACTGGCTAGCACCTCGTCGGTGAACTCGGAGAACCAGCCGGTCGTCATGGTGATCGCCGCGCAGAACTCGAAGACTTCCAAGGATGCCCATCTTCAGCAGAGCTACGCGGCGCGACACCTAGAAGCGGAGTTGTGCGCCGTCGGCGAGACCGGCCTGTGGTTGCACTTCATCCTCGACCAGATCGGTCAGTTCAACGACGTCGACTTCCTTCCACCGCTTGACACCACCGAACGTGAGCGCTGGTACAAGAAGCACCTCTTCTTCACCCGCAACGACAAGGAGCAAAAAGAGCTCTCCGCCGCCAGCCACCAACGTTGGACGCGGCAGATGTGGACGACCAACAAGGTGTTCTGCAAGCGGAACGTGCACGCCGCTCGCGCCGGAGGTGCGCAGGAGCTAGCCATCGAAGGGACGCCTCGCACTGAGATCGCCGAGCTGGGTCACTGGGCACTCGACAAGATGGCACGTGCTTACATCACAACCATTCCCGTTGGCATGGTGATGAGGAAGGCCAACTATTCGGGTTGCAAGCAAGACTACTTCTTGGGTCGCAGCAGGGTCGAGCCCTCCGACAAACTCTTGGACATCATCGCCGAGCACATCTTCCCCGGCGTGGATTCTCTGCTGCGCGATGTATGTTAGTCAGCGCCGACAATGTCCTTACGTTGCCATTGCTTCTTTGGCTGCCCAACACCTTACTAACCCACATCACTTGCCGACGTGCAGGCGGAAACGCGTGCTGCCAAAGGGAGCGACGCCGACAAAGCCGCCGTGCACTTCTGGCATACCCTCCTGTTGATGCGCCGCATCGTCGCCGAGGACCTTGCGGTGAAGCTCGTCCGCACCCCTTGGCACCCGTACATCCAAGGTTCCAAGCTCTGCCAGATTGCCCTCTTTCAGCACTGGGCAAAAAGGGTCGAGAAGATCGACACCGAAACGATCAACATGCGATCTGTTACGGGTGTAGTCTAAACGATTTTTGCCTTTCCGCCTTGTGCTGCAAGAAATCTCCGTCCGCTTGGACACCGAATACCATAACATGTCCCTCAAGGAGACGCTGAAATATGAGAGGGAGCGCTCCGCGGTCGAGAAGATTGACCTTCAGGAGGAGATCGAGAAGCGCGACGATACCATCGCGACGCTGGCCGCCGAGATAACCCGTCTCACCGAGGCACTCCGTGTGTCAGACGCACGGAGGATGCCGGTGGTGCCGCCATCGGGGAACGAGCAAGCGCTGAGCGAGAGTGGCTCCGCGGATTCGGCCAGTACGGGGGCCGGAGCCAAGAAATGGGATGAGAAACCCCCGAAACCCCCACAGACGGTCAACAAGGCTCGTTACGAGCTCAACATGGTGCAACCTTGGCGGGAGGCAATGACCGTGAGGGACGCTTGGCGCCTTTGGAACTATGCCACCGCCGATGACACCCGTCGTCTTTGCAACAGGGTCACCGAGCCGGGATTCGTCGACCGCCACACCCTCCTCAAAGGCGCGACGCAGGGTGCACACGACATGAAGGCGCGCCGCATGCTGAAGGCCATATATGCAGTGCCCCTTCTTCGCTCGAGTGACGGCGATGCCGACACCGAAGTTGTTGTCGCTGCCCTTAACAAGATCGCGGCGCCGGGCATCGGGACCTTTTGCGACGCCCTCATGGTGCTCAAACCGGGAACCGCATCGACGAAGTCCAAGGAGCCTGGCATGGGCGTCAAGGGGCTGGGCCCCAAGTCGGTCTCGAAGCTTCGTCTCGCCTGTGCGCTGGTGGCGGTCAACTTGAAGCCGAGCGCTTGGGTCGCCGTCCTGTTTCCAGACACCTGGGAGGAGCAGATGCCAAAGACCGTGGCCGACATGGCCAAGCAGACCGCACCTGTGCTGCGTCCTCCGACGAAGCGCAAGAAGGCGGCATGAATACCTTTGGAGCATATGCGTGTGCGTAGTTTGATGATGCTGTAATTTTGGCCGATTTTACCAAACCATGATGCTTATATTGTTCAGGAAGTTGGTAAACAAGACAAATCTAAGGCACATAACAGGGCCCATGCAAACCTAGATGATTCAACAATGGAAACTGCAGTCGGTCGCCGACCAACAAACATCCCGAATATACTTGCAGACAGCCAAACCCTCTATGTCGACAGACACCAAACGACGCCGATGTATTGTGGGCCTCCGACATATACGCCGACAAGGCTCATCCCCGAGTAGCATGTGAGTGTGCAATTCAGAGGGTAGCGATCAGGTCGACATCGCCGACGAGGGTTCTAGTTTCATGCACTACCAAAAAGTTACATGCACTACCACATAAGCAAACACAAACAAAAAGTTACAAGCACTAAAAAAAAAAAGGATCCAACAAAAGAACTACGCAATCGGCGCCGGCCAGACCAAACTGTTATACAACCTAGAAATCAGACCACCTAGCGCTCCCTCCGCGCGCCGACTACGCCGCCATGCTGTCCTTGCCCTTCTTGCCCTTCTTCTCCGTGCTGTCCTTGCCCTGCTTGCCCCTCTACCCCTTCCTCCCCCTGTGTTCAATATCGTACTCCATCTGCGCATCACATAGCACCGCGATGCCGATCTCTTCGAGTTTCGGCCTGGCGACAGGGCACATTCCCCAGAACGCCAAGGTCTCCACCGTCGCTCTAGCGATCACGTCGGCTTCGACTTCATGATCCACCCCCGGATAGACCCGGTGCAGAGCGAGACTCTGCAGCGCCGGCGCAACGTTGTGCGCAACCTCCCCGAGGGGTTGCTCCCTGTCGATCTCGGCCTCCAGCACCGCCTGCATGACCTCCTTGAAGACACAGGCGGTCTTCTCGCTCGCACTGACCACCATCGCCGCCGCCTTCCCTTCGCCCACAGCATCGTCCACCTGGGCGTCGTCGTTCTCGACTAAGCACCACACGGCGCAAGTGGAGGCCGATAAGGCATGTGCCACCATCGCCATCTTCTCATCAGTGTCTCCCTCCTTCCTCGCGGCGCTCACAGCGACCTTCCCATACGCAGCGCACATGGACACACGACCTATCATGGCCAACATCATAGCATCCGACTTCTCCTTGAATTCCTTTGTGACGGCATCGACGGGGAACCAGATCGCCGACAAGAGTGCGTCGTGGTGCGCATCGCCTGAGCTCTTGTACGCTCGATACTTGCCAAGAATATCATCGAACCTGTCACGCAATCACATGAAACCGGGCGACCATTAGTGACTCCGACATTGTCATCAACACTCGGCCGAAGGGTATCCGACTTACCGGGTTTTTGGAAGGTACGCGCCACGTGCCCATATCACTGTCCACATCCTTGTCGGCAAAATCTTGAGCTCCTCCCACACCTTCCTCCACTTCTCCATCTCGGTTTCCTCCAAGCCGGTGAGCTCGGTCATGAGGACCTTGCTGACGTAACCGTCGTAGATGATGTACGCAATCGAGTGCATGTACGCCAGCTCCATCTTGTCGCGTGACTTGCCGATGTATCGATTAGCGCCGAGCACCTTAATCTCGCCCACCCACCCTAGACCGTCGCCCGAGTTGTCGTGGCGGATGCCATGACCCTTCCGTCCTTTCTCCTTCTCCTTCTCCTTCTCCTTCTCCTTCTCCTTCTTCTTCTCCTTCTCCTTCTCCACCGACTTCTCCTTCTCCTTCTCCGCCGCCTTCTCCTTCCCTTTCATCGCCAACGTACCCTCACCGACCGACTTCTCCTCCTGATTCTCCTCCGCCTTCTCCTTCCCTTTCTCCACCGACTTCTCCTTCGCCTTCTCCCTCCCTGTCTCGGCCGTCATCGCCCGTGTTTTCCTCTAAGAGCTCGCCCTCCCTTTCCTTGTGTCGGCCTTCCCCTTCCGTTTCGACTCTCCCTCGCCGACAGCATCAGTGGTCGTCTTTGGCTCCGCTCAACCACCGGAGGGATTCGCCGAGGGCTCCACATGCGCCGTGTCCGAGATGGCCAGAGCAGGGGGGTGCTCGGGGCGTTTTAACGCTTCCAACAGGTTCTGGATGGCAGCGATGTTGGCATCGTTGTGGCCTTTTGACGCCTGTGCAGGGTCAACGGCTCCGCCGCCGGTGGCTAGCGCTGCCCTCATGCCCTTCTCCGCCGCCACGTTTACCGACGTCGGCGTCGCGCTTGAGCCGGCTTCCGGCTGAGTCCGTGTTGGTGCTGCCGCACTACGTGCGCCTAACCGGGCACGAAGCAATGCGGACTTTGGGTCCGCAAGAGGACGGGTGGCGACCAGAGGCGCGGTAGGTGGGGCACTGGGCGTTGTGGCGGTGACCTACAGAGTGACAGAGCGACGTGCTGTTTCGGCGGGGGCGGCATCGACCAAGGGAGGCTTCTGCACGTCCTTGCGATGGGCCTCCATGCGGTGGAGCGTTTCTCTGAGCGTGTTCGTCGCTGCGGGCACCTTAGTGGCGGACGGACCATCGCGGTTAGCCGCAGCATCCTTCGCGTCGCCCTTAGCGGCAGACGGGCCTGCTGGAGCTAGAGTAGCCGCAAGGGCCGGCCCATCGTTGTTGGCGGCTGACGGGCCGACCAGCGCGCTGCTAGCCGCAGGGGGTTTATGGGGAATCGACATGGTCCCCGCCACCCCGACAGACGGTCCCTTGAGGGTTCTGGCGCCACCATCTATCGCCGTTTGAGCATTTGGGATCTCCTTGTCACTCAAGCCTTTCCCGCCGCTCGCCAGACCATAGGGCTTCTCGGCGACCAGGGGCGAGGCTGTTGGTCCAGCGTCTTGAGCGGCAACCTCATCGGCATGGCCCCCATCTGCACTCCCGATTCCATCGCCCTTGCTGTGCGACCTTATCACCTTGGCCCCGTTCTTCTTGAGTTGGTCGACCACGCTCTGACCTCGAGTCCGCGAGCCGCCTGGACCCATCGCGCCAACGCCGCGGCTCCCATCGGCTCCCTTGCTCCGCTTCACGCTCCCCGCATCATCTCCGCCGCCTGCCCTTTTTTTGCCCTGCTTGTCGGCCTCCCTTCGTTGCGCGAGATCGGCGTCATTGGCCAACGGCGACGACCCACGCTGACCAGGCGCCACATTGTCGATCACCTCGGTCATGAGCTTTAACCCGGACGCAACAAACGACTACTGGGTGGCCTCCGTCACCGCCTTCAACACGTCCGCCTTGAACGACTTCGTGAGCTCATCCGGGAAGGCTGGCGTGGGCTGCGGCGGCGGCGGCGGCGGCACGGCGATGGTGCGAGTTACCGCGGCGGCAATGTTGGTATGCGCGACAGCTAGGGTCTTCAAGATGTAGTCCTCCAAACCCAGCTTCGCATCGTCCACCACCGCTTCCACGTGGTTGGCCAAGGCGGTGACCACTTTTGCGCGTTCAGCTGCCATAATTCCCTCCGGACCGTCGATTTCCGCAACCACGTCGACGCCTGTTCGGCGAAGGACTTCATCGCCTTCCACGATTCGTCCATGTGGTTGGTGATGTTGTCCGTGATGGTTGTCGATACGGCCGACGTCACATCTAGCAGCCGTTTCGCCGCATTATGGTCGGAGACGGCGACCTGGTCAGCCAACGACTGGAGCTTGTTGAGGAGTCCACGTATCCCCAACGCAAACCTGTCCACCCGACCCCTTTCCTCTCCGTGCGCCTTCTCCAGACGGGCATTTTCTACCGTCAACCGCCTGTTCTCCTGTCGCAGATGCTCGACGACGTCCAGCGGTGCCTGCCGACCAGATGCGGAGGAACCGGGATGACCGCGCGCAGCCTTTTTCTTCCTAGACCGCTCCCCCCCCCCGCCTTCCCTGCGGTGGTCTCGGTAGGCCCGTCCACACCCGTCTGCTTCGTGGCCGCGGCGTTATCCCCTTCTCCAACGGCCTCGAGGTCGACAACTTCCTTCGCGTCGCCAACCACTTCGCCGACCACGACCTTCTCACTCCCCCCGCAAGCCGCCTCCACGCCGACTCTCTCCTCGTCAGCATCCTCCCCTCCCTCGTTCACAACATCCGCCAACCTCCCACCCATTTCCGCTGCTCCCTCTAAGTACTCCACCTCCATTTCCTCCAACTCCCACTCGACCTCTTCCTCCTGCTCCCCCTCTTGCTGCTTCTCCGCCTCCTCCTCCACCTCCTCCTCCTCCTCCTCCTCCTCCTCCTCCTCCTCCTCCTCCTCCTCCTCCTCCTTCTCACGATCCTCATCGTCCTCCTCTTCCTGATCCTCGTTATCATCCCGATGGACGTCCTCGTCCTGGTGCTTCTCCGCGGTCCCAGTCACCGCCCTTCCTGCCTCCTCATCTGCCTTGTCGACGCCGCCTCCGGGCTCTCCGATCGAAGTCCCACGCGCATCATTGACGGTGTGGGCGACACCTACTGCTTGGGATGCCGAAGAGGCCTCCTCGCCGTCGTCGTCACAGGCGTCGGCAGCAACTCTGACATGGCCCGACCTTTTGAGAGCGACGTGCTCCTTGACGAATGTTATCATCCCATTTCGCAGCCCCTTCAACCCCGAAACGTTGACCTTGTCCATGCAGGTCACACTGCGACGGATGGCGCCGGTCAAGAGATCCATCCTCCTCACCACCCAGCAGAATGCGCTAATTGCTAGCATGTCGGAGCCCGCGTCCCCGTCCTGGACGGCGTCGGGCACTTTCTGCATACAACAGTTCAGAGCGCAAGGATGAGCACCGCGTTCGGCAATCGCATCGCGCAAGGATGACACACTATAGGATGGTAAATCGTTCGAAACTCACATCTCGAACGGGTTGATCGCAGTCGGCGAGCCTGTCATCCACCTCTTCATCAGAAGGCTTCGCCCACTCCCACTTCCTACCATCGCGCCCAAGCTCGGCCAGTACTGCCGCCCGGAAAAACCTGTAGCAACATTGGCACAGATTGTCGGTAAGCATGGTTTACGCTGCGCGGCAAAATTGCATGCGTCGTCGACTACACTATCGAGCTCACTTCAACACGTGGATCGCCTGGTCGTGGTGCCACTGCTTCACGGTCTGCGGGTCAACGTGCCAGATCGAGGTCCTGATCTTCTCCCCCCCGGCCTTCAACAAGTCGCCGGGGTACATGATGACAACGATGCTGCAATATGCTCCTGGAAGCGGTGCGATGCTGCACAGGCAAGGCACGACTACGTCGTTCAGAACAGAGCACCGACATAGGATGCAACACACATCATGACGACTTTGAACCAGCTCACCTCGAAATCAGGGGGATAACCGCTATGTCGGCGCCGAAAACTGTCGCAAAACATGTGTGGTCCGTCCGACCCATCGCCGCCCGAAGCCGGCCGAGTCCTATCGACCACAATCGCATGTTGGCCGGTGCCGCGCGAGTCCATGCATGCCTGCACGCATGCATGGGTATTAGAAGTAAGTGAGGAGGTGCACGACACGACGGTGGATATGTTGGTGTAGGAACCGCCAACTGACGGGGATGGCAATAGTACGACGGTGCACCACCCTTGCGACTTTGTAATCAATGGAGCCGACCGATGCGGGCCTAAACCCTGTGCCGACACCGACCTACGGTAGATAACCCTGAATCCTAAAGTCGGCGTCAACGTGAACTGAACCAAACCCTAAACTCGTAGCGCCGCCCTAGACGTGGGACAACCCTAACACCGACGTTGCGTCGACCAGCAAGTAGGTGAGCCAGCGTAGCTCCTGAGCAGCCATGGCTCCGGCGTAGATCTCAGCCTCACAACTGGAGCTGAGAACTGAAGACGAGCGGGTAGATCGCCAAGAAACCGAGCCGGACCCAAGGCTGAAGGTGTAACCCTGTGACGACCGCTGCGTAGCTGAGTCGTCAACCCAGGAGGCGTCTGCGTGACCAGTGAGGACAACTGGACCCCGTCCTCCAAGCACAAGCCCCATGCCCGACGTACTGCACAGGTAACGCAGTACCCTCTTCGCAGCATCCCAGTGCACCTTTCGGTGCCTACCAGGAGCCACGTAGCGAGCCAGAAGGCTAAGAGGGTACGCGAGGTCAGGTCGTGTGCAAGTCAACAGGTACATGAGGCAACCCACAAGCTCTGGGTACGGACCACTCGGCTCTACGGACTCGTCCGAAGGTGGAGCTGAGAGCGAGTGGCTGGTAGACAGAGGAGTGAGCTGTGGCGAGGAGTACTGGAAGCCGAAGCGCTGAAGGACCTGGTGCACCATGTGTGACTGAGTCAGTGTGATGGTGCGCCGTGCTCTGTCCCGGGTGATGTGCAGGCCAAGATAGCTGCGCAGTTCACCCAGGTCAGTGCAGGTATGTCTCTTCTGCAGCTCGGACTTCACTACGGTCAGTGCCTCAGTGTCAGCCGTGGCAAAGACGAGGTCGTTGACGTACACTAGGACGTAGAAGGGCGGCAGCGAGGTGTCGGTGCGTAGAAACAGCGACGGGTCTGCTGTAGAAGGAACAAACCCAAGAGCCGCAAGTGTAGTCCTGAGTGTGTCGTGCCACTCGCGAGGCGCCTGGCGGAGACTGTAGACTGGCCGGCGTAGGCTCCACTGGGTACCTGTAGGAAACAACCCAGTGAAACCAGGTGGTCGGCGCAGCCAGATCTCCTCGTGCAGGCTGCCCTGCAGGAAGGCTGTACTGAAGTCTAGGGAGTGTAACTCGTAGTCACGCTGAGCAGCTACGTGCAGCAACACCCGAAGAGTAGTCATCTTCGGGGTGGGGGAGAAGGTCTCGAAGTAGTCAACTCCCTGTCGCTGACTGAAACCTCGAGCAACGTAACGCGCCTTGAAGGCAGGTGGAGAACCCGGCGGCCGCTTCACCCTGAAGATCCACATGCCATCGACTATGTTCACCCCAGGTGGGGGAACCTCGTCGACGTAAGTGCCTGTGGACTTCCAGGATGCCATCTCAGCATCCATAGATGCCTGCCACTGAGAGGAGTAAGGACCCGTAATCGCCTCTGCGTAAGAGCGCGGGGTCTGGATGTCTGGAGCATCCGGGTCTCCCTCAGGGGCAAGCAGCAAGGAAGCGAAACGAGGTACAGCAGCTGCAAGACACTCAAAGTCCTCCTGCCTGTCCTCAAGGACGTCCGTGCCAAGAGCACACTCACCCCCGACGGACGGAGGACTGGCAGGCACAGACTCAGCAACTAGAGCAGAGGCGTAGTCGAGACGGCAGGCAGCAGCAAAGTCAAGTAGCTCAGCAACGAGAGCAGAAGCAGCAGCAGACTCAAAGGACGGGTCAGTGACAGCAGTGGCAAGAAGACGAGCGACAGTGGGACTGGCAGCACGCGCTCGGTCAGACTCAGGGTCAGTGACCTCAGGAAGAGAGGACTCAGGAGGAGCAGGCAGAGGAACACGCAGTGGAACAGAGGAAGGACGGAGTGCCATGGTGTGCGTGCCTGGGACAGGAGGAGGACGCGAACGAGGAGCGCGACGAGCAGTGCGAACAGGCGAGACAGGACGAGACGCAGGCTCACGACGCTCTGTAAGACCTCCGGACTGCTCAGTGTAAGGAGAGGGAACAGGCAGCGGGGAGGCTGGCTGTAACGGCGGCTGCGACTGGTCAGGCGGTGGACACAGGAAGGGAGGAGGAAGACCAGTAGAAGACGGGACACCAAGAACCTGCTGAAGCAGGGGAACAAAGTACGGGCGCGGCCGCACAGTGCCTCCAGCACCTCCAGCTCCAGGGTCAACAGCTCTAGCTCCTGCAGCTCCAGTGCCTCCTGCGCCAGGGCCTCCAACTCCAGCTACACCAGCTCCAGCGCCTCCGGCGCCAGCTGCTCCAGGCTCCGTAGGGTCTCCAGCTCCAGTAGTAACAGCAGCACTTCCAGCTCCAGCGTCTCTAGGCTCGCCAGCCCCAGGAGCTCCACTCCGACGGTGTGGGCGCTGAACAAGCCACTCACGCAGCTGCTGCGAGGACAGTCGCGGTGAAGCACCAGCAGGACCTCCAGACGAAGCAGCACCCCGAGGCTCAGCACCCCCAGACTCCGCACCCTCCGACTCAGCACCCCCAGGCTCCGCACCCTCCGACTCAGCACCCCCAGGCTCAACACCCTCAGGCTCAGCACCCCCAGACCCAGCACCCTCAGACCCCGCACCCCCCGGCTCCGCACCCCCAGACGCAGCACCCCCAGACGCAGCACCTGGAGCAGCACCTGAGACGACAGCTACCTGAACAGGCGCAGTACCAGGGAGAGGGTCTACCTGAGACACTCCCGAGGGAGCAGGACCCTGGGGCGGAAGGGGGTCTACCGGAGGTGGACCGGGAGCAAGGAAGAGCGGCGGGGGCGGGGAAGGGGCAGAGCGGTAGGGGAAGAGACGGTAAAAGGGAACCGACTCGTCGAACGTGACGTCCTGAGAAGGGAGGACACGGTGCGAGGTGGGGTGGTAAAACTGCCAGCCAGGCGCGTCAGGGACAAAGCCAAGTAAGACGCAGGGAATAGCGCGGGCGGAGAGCTTGTCCGCGGACGTATCGCGAACAAAGGCACGAGAACCCCAGACCCGGAACACCGACGCATCGCCAACCTTCCCCGTCCAACGCAGTGTGGGCGAGGTCTCCGGCAAGGAGACACGGGGCCAAAGGTTGAGCTGATGCGCAGCGTACCGGACCGCAAACGGCCACAGAAAATGGGGAGCGGCCGCATGGATCATGGAGGTACGAGCCACCTCCATGACTAAGCCAATGCGGCACTCAGCAATCCCATTTTGCTGAGGGGAGTCCGGAAGCGTGAACGACTGGAGAATGCCCTCCCCACGACAAAAGTCCCACAAGAGGTCGGAGGAGAACTCACCACCTCTGTCAGAGTGCAGACGTAGGACAGGAAGGTCCTGGCCGAACCGCTCGCGCAGCTGGAGACGGACTGTGCGGATCCAAGGGATCAAGACAGCAGAGACTTCACCCTTGCTGCGCAAGGGGAAGACTGTGGTGTACCGCGTGTAGTCGTCAACTACCAGCAGAAAGTAGCGCTCGCGGCCCTGTCCACTGACGTGGGCTGGGCCCCACACGTCCATGTGGAGGGTCTGCAGGGGAGCAGTCGTCGGGGGAAACGAGGAGGAGTGAGGAGCGGCGCGCTGCCGCCCCTCGACGCAAGGAAGACAGGGCGGGGCAGGTGAGGGCGGCAGGGGAGGCAGAGACCTGGGGAGACCAGAGACAAGGAGACGAGAGTGCATGCCACGAAGGCGTGGCAGGGAGGGGTGACCAAGGCGGTGGTGCCAAAGAAGAGTCTGGTGCGACAGGAGGCGACACGAGCAAGAGGTGGCTACCTGACCTGACGCGGACACCTGAGCAGACGCAGCGACCTGAGGAGGCTCGGTAGCCAGTGTGTACAGACTCGACCCTGGCCGACGAGTGAACGTAGCCAGGTGACGCCCCGTCCGTGTACACGTGCAGATCGACACACGCTGACCCCCAGGAGTGGTGGTAGTGACCATATCATCCTGAAGGGCAGCGGTACTCACCAAGTTTGTAGAGAACGAGGGGAGGTGAAGACCTAACAGTGAGCCGGACGGAACCGCCGGACACGGGAGGACAGTGGAGGAACTGGCAACGACCGGGCCCCCAGAGGGGTCAGCCAGTCTGACCGGAACAGGTGCAGGAAGAGGAGTGAGAGTGGTGCTATCACGAAAGAAACAGCGCGAGGCGCCGGAGTCC